GCTTACAGCTAAGGGATTCAACATAGACTTCATACCTAACTAATCATTTTGAATATGTGACTTTCAGACAACCTTACTAAATATTATATGCCAAATACATGTGATTTTCAAATAGCCTTAATAAATATACTAAATATTCAAAACTTCGTGTTTGTTTTCTATGAGAGACGCAAAGTTTTAGTCTACTGTCCAGACTACACCCAATTTATCAGTTCTGGTTTCGTGGGTGCAGGTAGAGCCTACAAGGAAAACTCGCCCTCTTTAGGTTTAAGGCACCAGGGCAGATAGATGCAGTCGCAGGCAGGCGTTTGATATCCTTATCAGTCCTACTGGGCTATCCGCTCTAACATGGAATGTTTAAATTTAGTTTTAATTCTGTATCTGTGGATGCTTCACGGGTGTGATGCACAAATTACAATGGACGAAATATGATGTTACAGACCAATAGCACTTAAAATTTCAAAGATTTAAACTAAGAGTATGTAGAGAAAGCAAGTTGCCTGCAGGATACGGAAACATTACACCAACATCGCCGGCAGCACAACTTTTTTGTATAGCATTCTCCATATTTGGCATACCGATGACTCTATTAACATTAGCTAATCTCGGCAAATATCTTACAAAAGGATACTGGATGGCATTAGCTTGCGTGGGCCAGGTCAGTTTGTTTCGATAAATTTTTTTTCATGCAAAATTTCTGCTTTGTCACTTTCCAAATGTTTCTGAAATATTACAATGCTGTTATTACAAAATTCAGGAAATGCGTTGGCGACCATGCGAAAATGCTAAAATGCCATTACCGACTCTTCTCGTACTGTTCTTGCTCACATTCGCATTTGGCTCACTGTTATTCTACCAAAAAGGCAAAGGTTTCTCTGTGGATGATGTTTACTTCAGGTGAGGTATCTCCAAAATCTTTGCAACCCTCGCAATGAAAAGAAAAACATCCACCTTTCTCAGAACACCAAATACCGTTACTATAACTGAATCCGCTATTAATCGGACGCGCCAAATTTGTCTAGGTTTTGAGGAGTTGTGCAAAACAGTGAATTCAGATTGAGGGCACTTAGGCAGTAAAATTGAGGAAAAAATCCCATCCGCATCGCTCTCCGTGAAAGACGGACACAGTTTTGCTGTCTTTTAGAGTTTGTTGATAAAACGCAGCCTCTGGCGTGACACCTTGACGTTCCGGTTAGGATGCGATATAGGATACAGTGACACTAGTAACATAAATAGGTATCTCCTGAACGGAGCCTTTGCTCGAAAATTGTTGTGGACCGGGAGGGAATCGAACCGAACCACTCCTCTTCGCATCCGGAGGCGACATGTTGCCAGTACACCACCGGTTTTTGTACTTCGATGTCTAGCCTGACAATACATCTACTGTGTATCTGCTTGTCAAAGCAACATTTACCTTTATTGTCTTCTCTGCCACTCAGAAGCAGTTTTCATCTTTTTCTTTGTGGCGGCTTCTTGACCGGCTTTTTGTGATTATTCATATATGTTGGATCCAAAAACAAATGCACGTTTCCAGCATTATTAGTTTTGCAACTGTTGGATTCGGTGACAAATTTCCAACAGCAGATGATCCGTTACGTTTAATAGCGATGGTTTGTTACCTGGTATGGGGTATGATTTTAATGACAACCACATTCTCCAATGTAAGCAGCTATCTCAGGACGGTATGTTTTTCGGTTATGACTTCCCAGCACATCCTGAATAAAATTCTCTTTTTTGGAAAAATTCTGTTACGGATATACGAAGAAGCCAACAAACAGAATCTGCGGATGCGTGTCACACATGCGACAAAATAATATGAGGCGAGATTTGCCGTACATTCTTTCCTCCTCAAAACCCTCAACTTCAAAAAATCGAATAAACTACCGCAGTTTAAAAGTTATGAAAAAAATGGAAAAAATTTCAGGAAAGCATGTATTTTCCCAGGAGAAATTTGTTGACTGTTTCTGCTGATTTTCAGATCCATTATTTAGGGCGTAGGCTTCGTGGTGCTCGAGATGTG